GGAGCTCCCACCTGGAAGGAGGAAGTGCTGACGGTTCTTCCAGCCCCAGGTGCCCTGGGTCACCTGCGCCCTTTCATTAGGAACCTGGGCCCCTGGGACCCAGCTCCCAGTCCCCACTCAGGCAGCTGCCGGGCTCTGGACCCACCAGCCCCACCTGGAGGTGGAGGCACCGACCCTCCCAGGGAGCCGCTGTGGACTTTTTTTTAGAAAAACCACCTCCACTTCTTTCCAGCAAGACGGTTAGTAAATATTTCAGCCCCGCGCTTAGCGGACAGCTTCCACGTGTGCTTTCTTGCCACGAGCGTGCTGGCAAGTGCTTAGCGGACGTGTGCTTTCTTGCCACGAGCGTGCTGGCAAGAGCCCCTTCCTTTTCCGACGTCAGGAAGCCAGACGGACCCTCGTCCGGAGCACTTTCAGCTCAACGTAGCGAGACAGCCCCCCCGGAGCCCAGAGCCCCCAGAGAAGGGGCTGGGAGGGGCCGCTGGGCCCAGGAGGGCACAAGCTGTCTCCAAGCAACAGCACGGGGGGCGGAGGGTGGGGGACTGAGGGGCCCCCGTGTGGATTTGAGCGCCTCTAGCCTCGGCTGTGCAGGGGCTGCTCCCAGAGGCCGCACCCCAGAGAGGCCGCACCCCAGAGAGGCCAGGAACGGCTGGGGCAGGGCCCACAGTGCTCCTGCCCCCGAGCCAGGCCCCAAGTCAGCAATAAGAACCAACCCTCAGCTCAGCCTGGGTGGTGCCCTGGGCACGAGACCTAGCACCTGGGGTGCCCGTCTCAGCACCCCTGAACTCTATTGGCCTGATTTATTTATGTAATATATAAATCTATATAAAATAGCTATTTTGCTTACATTTCTATGGTATCTGTAAAGGATAAATGATGAAGACAGGTTCCTGTCTGAGTTTGGCCTGAACACTCATCACAGGTGTTTCTTCCTACTCCAGGACTGGCTGGTTTTCATAAGGAAAAATGGTGAAAACACCAACTTGTGAGATGCCTTAGGGCGCCCACTCAGGAGCCGGGGGACGGGGGGCGGGCTGTGTGGGAGCATCTTCTGACGTATTAAAGCCTTGGACGTGGAGTCCCCCGTGGCCCCGAGTCTGTAACTGGGTGGAGAACAGGTAACAGCCCCACAGGGGCTCTCGTCGCCTCTGAACGGGCAGCGGGAGGAAGGGGTGGGAGACCGAGTGGGGTGGCGCCTGGAGCAGAAGGGCCTTTTTAGAAAGGCGTGTGAGGGCTGAGTCAGCATCGGGGTGGCGTCGGCTTTACCTGGACTGTGTGGGGCCAGGCCTCTGCCAGGAAGGCCCGCACTGGTGAATGGCCAGCTGTCTGACAATGTTGCCTAGCAACCCGGACCACTAGTTACCAGGACTGGGCAGCTGGTCGGGCCCAGTGGCCCTGTTCCCAGTGCCACTGCTGCCCGGTGAGGACACCACCGCCAGACCCTAACCACCCATCCGACTCCTGGGCGCGGTGAGCTCCAAGGCTGGCCTCGCACAACCTCTCACACATACCCCCTTCCTCCTTCCCAGACACTGGCCTTCCCATTGGGGTGGAGGCAGGTCTAGTGAGACCCACAGGCTGGAGGGGCAGCTCTCACTGGATAGAGGATAATGGGGGGGATGGTGAGGGGACCCCAGGACGGGCCTGACAGGTGGGGAGGGGCTGCACGGGCAAAGCCCAGCGGGGACAAAGGCAGCCACTGAGGCAGAGGGAGGCATCAGAGCCTGGACAGAGCCACTCGGACCAGCAGGACAGATCCGCCTGTGCCGTGTCTACCAGCCGCCGGCACCGAAGAGAGAGTGACAGACTCTGCAACGCAGAACATGAGGCCTCACAACACACCCAACAAGGGCACCAGGTCTTCCCGGAGATGCTCTCAGCCTCCACTGAGAGAGAGGACACGTGAGCGGGGAAATGCCGCTTCGTGGAGGGGCAAACTCCACTCTGTCGCTTCTTCCCAAATCCAGAGTCAACACGGTCCAAGCCCGAATTCTCCCGGTATTTTTTTTAAAAAACTTGACAAGTTGACTGTGAAATTTACATGGGAGAGTAACTGCACAGGAAATGGCTAAGGCGATTCTTAAAAAGAGGAACCGGGCGGGGCGGGTGGGACTTGACCTGCAGACACGACATGTGGGAACCACCCCCACCACTGTTCCCACGGTACCTGGCACAGCGGGCACAGCATGGATGCTACCGGCTGGCCATGTCCCCAGCCTCGTGGGCTGTGAGCGTCATGAGCTGGGAATCTTGTCTGTGTTTACGCTGCAGCATCCCCAGGGCCGGGCAGATAGCAAGTGCTCCTTAAACAGGGATTGTACGCGTGAGTCCCCGGCCAGGAAACACAGCTACAGCCAAGGCCAAGGCAACGCCCTGGGCAGCTGGGAGTGTGGCTGCCGCCTCAACTGGGTAACTCCAAGCACAGGAGGAAATGTTAGCATCGCCAGTGAAAAACAAAAATGCAGGAAAACAATAGTGCCTGTGCAGTTAGACTCTGGTGAGTTAAATATCATGTAAAACATCTTACAGGAATCACGAAAGGAATAAGAAAACTAAATTTCAAAAACGGGAAAAACATGGTATGTGACGGAGAAAATTTCTATCTAAAAGAAGGCAGGAAAGGAGTGGAAAAAGGAATGCAGGTACGGTGGAATAAAAATTACAAAATTAGAGGATAGAAATAAGTCAATAATCAATGCATCAATCATTACACAAAATATGTTAAACGCTCCAGGTAAAAACAATATATGGAATACAAACATCATCCAACTATATGCTATTTACAAGAATACGCCCAAACGGTAAATACAGGCATACTTGGGAGATACTGTAGGTTCAGGTCCAGACCACATCGATACAAATATCACAATAAAGTGAATCACACAGGTTTTCAGTCCTCGGCGCCTACAAAAGTTGTTCACACTACACTGTCTGTTAAGAGCAGTCCATCCAGCAAATGCACATACCTTGATTTTAAAAATACTCTCTTGCTAAAAAATGCTAAGGATCATCTGAACCTTCAGCTAGTTGTCATCTTTTTCTAGTGGACGGTCTTGCCTCTGTGCTGATGAAAATGCAGTTCTGTGACGTGCAATAAAGCTAAGCGCAATAAAACGAGGCACACATGCCTGTGTACAGACAAGACTTTAAGGCAAAAAACAGTACTAGATGCCAATTCCCAGAAAGAAAAACAGTCGCTTTATAATGATCAAAGGTAAAATTCACCCAAGTTCTAAAACTCTTAAGGCAACAAATAGCATCTCAAAATAACGTAAAATGGACTGTCACAAGGAGAAACAGATAAACCCACAATCATAATGGAAGATTTTAACGTCTCTCCCCCAGTAATGAGAGCTCAGAGAGACAAACATATCAGCAAGGTTTCAAATCACACAATTAACAAACCTGACGTATTGAAAACAGCATGACACACAAGTGCAGGAGATGTTCTTAAATACACACGAAACATTGGTGAATGTTAATCACATATCTGGGCTGGTCATAAAGCCTCGGCAAACTTTAAACAGACCACATTCTCAGAACACAATGCAGGCATTTTAAAAGCGATAACATACAGATAATCAGGAAGAAAACAGTTTTCTAATACTAAGAAATACAATTTTAAGTAACTCATGGATCAAAGAAGAAAATACATCAGAAAATACAGTTAAAAAATAAAGCCCAGCTGGTGTGCTCTGTTGGTTGAGCATCATCAGGAGGTTCAATTCCTGGTCAGGGCACATCCCCACTAGGGGGAGAGCAGGAGGCAGCCAATAGATGTTTCTCATTGATGTTTCTATCTCTCCCTCTCCCTTCCTCTCTAAAATCAATAAAAAACATATTCTTAAAAAAACTAAAATACCATATAGCAAAACTTGTAGGATTTGAGTACTTAGAGGGAAATTTATAGCATTTAAAGCTTGTATTGTAAAAGAAGAAAGGCTAAAAAATGAGCTAAACATCTAATTTGGATAAGAAAATAAATATCAGGATAAATTCAAAGGAAGGACTTCAGAAAGGAAATAAAAATCAGAAATTAATAAAAGAGAAAATAAACATAATAGAGAAAACCAAGAAAGCTGAGGTTGATTCTTATAAAAACTAAAATTGACCAACTTTATTGATCAGCAAGACAGAGAAGGGGAGGAAGAGAAGGAAAAGGGAGGAAATGAATGAACCAAAAAACAGTATCTGGAATGAAAAGAGGAAATTAATACAGATGCTACAAACATTTAAAAATGAAGATATTATGAACAACTTTGTGCCAACCTTGTTTGAAAACTGAGATAAAAATCCTAGTTATTATAACTTAAAACTGACTCAAAAAAAAACCACACAGAAAAACCTGAACAGAATTATAACCATTTTTAAAATTTAAATCAGTGAAAAATCTTCCCTTACACAAATGCACACAAAACTCCAGACACTGCTTACCAAGAAATAACCAATCTTACAGAAACTATCAAACCCTCAAACCTAACGACGTTTACCTGCCTAAAGGAGAGATGGCACATATGTAGAATGGAATATTACTCAGCCATAAAGAAAAGAATGAAATCGTACCATATAAGACATGGATGGACTTAGAAGGTCTTAGGCTAAGTGAAATAAGTCAGACAGACAAAAACAAATACCATATGACTTCACCTAAATGTTGAATCTAAAGAAAAAAATAACAGAAACAAACTGATACAGTGAACAAACTAATGGTTGCCAGAGGGGAGGGGAGTGGAGGAATGGGTACAAGAGGTGAAAGGATTAAGAAGTATAAATTGGTAGTTACAAACAGTCACAGGGAATATAGTCAATAACATTGTAATAACTATGTGTGGTACCAGGTGGGTACTAAATTTACCGAGGGATCACTTCACAAATTATATAAATGTCTAACCAGTACGCTGTACACAGGAAGCTAATATAAAATAATATTGAATGTCAACTGTAATTGAAAAATAAAATTTAAAAAACAGAAGGAAACTACTTCCACGCTTTAAAGGCCATTTGCCAAAACCAACAGCCCACATTCTGCTCAGCTGTTAACAGGTGATTTCCATCCACAACACACATGGCTTTCAATCCACCTCAGGAACAAGACGGGGCTAATTGTTTAATTGCCAGCAAGCTAGCAATTAAACTGGTATACTGGCAAACAGGCAGGCTGTACCTACAAAACAGGTTTATTTTTAAACCTATCAGAGCTCATAAGATAGAAAAATCTATTATATTAAATCATTAGCTTTTTCTATATTAACAATCAGGAATAGAGATGGAAAAAATATCCCATTCACAATAAAACCATAAAATAGGAGTAAGTTTAATAAGAAAATTATAGAACCCATATAAAGAAATTATAAAATCTTATTGGAGGATCTAAAAGAAGTCTAACAAATGGAAACCATTTTTATCGTCTGGGGAGCTTTAGGATCATAAAAATGTCAACGCTCCCAAAACTTACAATCTAAATTTAATGCAATTATTTAAATCCCAATAGAATTTTTGGTTTGGCCAAGAATGGGAGAGAACTGAATAAAGTGATTTTAAATTTCATGTGAAAGAATAAATTCTAAGAATAGCCTGGAAAAGCATTTTTAAAAGAAAAAGAGGAGGTTGACCCATCTAGATGCTCATAGTGCCCAAAATTCTAGTTTCAGCTAGAAGCTCACCCCTCACGTTGGAATCGCCTGTCCAGCTAATAACAGGATGTCTCCAATGGCATGTCTAGGGGACATCTTAAACCCAACAGGTCCAACATCATCAAACAGAGCGACCAAGGTAGTTCACGTAGTAAATGAAGCTGGCGCAAGTGGATTTCCATTTGGGGGGAAAAAACAAACAAACAAACAAACAA